GTGTTCATCCAGCCCTGCACCTTGTTGTCTCTTGTAGATCAGTGAGTCTGGCTTCGGTAGTGGGGAATTTGGTAGAGTCTATTATCAAGGATTTTTACAGGAGAGCATTTCGAAAACAGTGCTAGAATCAGAGAAACAGCCAACATGGTTGTAACTGGTAGAGGTGATCTTGGGGGAGCCAATGATGTGATTTATTTGGGCTTTCAAAAGGCTTTTCATAAAGAGATCAATGTGTAAAATCAAAGCTCATGGAATTGCGGGTAGTATATTGAGACGGACAGAAAATTGGTTAGCAGACAGGAAGCAAAGAATGGGAAGAAATGGGTCTTTTTCGGAATGGCAGACAGTAACTAGTGGGGTACTGCAGGGATCGGGACCAGGACTCCAGCTATTCACATATATGTTAATAATTTAGATGAGGGAACTAAATGTAATATCTCAAAATTTGCAGATGACACAAAGCTGGGTGGAAGGGTTGCTGTGAGGGGGATGCAGAGATCTTGCAGCGTGATTGGGACAGATCGAGTGAGAGGGCAAACGCAGTATAATGTGAGGTTATCCACTTTGGTAACAAAATTAGGAAGGTAATTAAATGAATGATTATAAATTGAGGGAGGGGAATGTTCATTAAAACTTGGGTGTCCTTGTGCACCAGCTGCTGAAGGTAAGCATGCAGGTGCAGCAGGTTGTAAAAAAGGCAAACAATATATTGACCTTCATAGCAAGAGGATTCAAGTACAGGAACAAGGATGTCTTGCTGCAATTACACACAGGAAATTGGTGAGCCCACACCTGAAATATTGTGTGCAGTTTTGGGCTCACCTGAGGAAGGATGTTCTTGCTCTCGAGGGAGCACAGTGAAAGTTTACCAAATTGATTTCTGGGATGGCAGGGCAGACGTATGAGGAGAGATTGACTCAGTTAGGATTGTATTCACTGCAGTTTCGAAGAATGGGAGGAGATCTGATATAAACCTATAAAATTCTCAGAGGACTAGACAGGGTTAAATGCAGAAAGGATGTTCCTGATACTGTGGGAGTCCAGAACCTGAGGTCACGGTCTAAGGATAAGGGGTAAACCTTTTAGGTCTGAGATGAGGAGAAATTTCTTCACCCAGAGGGTGGTGAGCCTGTGACATTCATTACCATAGAAAGTGGTTGAGACCAAAACATTATGTTTTGAAGAAGGAGGTAGATATAGCTCTTGTGCCTAAGGAGATCAGGGCATTGAGCTCAATGATCAGCCATGGTCATAGTCAACAGCAGGAGAGGCTCGAGGAGTCGAATAGCCTACCCCTGCTACTATCTACTAAGTTCACACGAGTTTAACATCTTCTATTCCATTGATATTTTATAACCAATCTGTTCAGTGAGTGGAGCAGGTGGGACTTGAACCTGGGCCTCCCAGCTCAGAGGTCAGATCACTACTACTGTACCACAAGGGCCTTCTGTTCCAATTGATACAACATTGGTGGCCCAATCTCTTTCACCCATGACCGCTCAACTGACATCCTATCCCCAATGTTTCTCAGCCATCTCTTCTGGCTGTGGAACACATATCAACAGAAGCAATGTGTGTGATTGGTATTTGGAATCAGGATTGTCCAGATTTTATGGAGAGGAAGAGTTTTTACCTTGTTCCTTAAGTAAGGCCTGGGCGTCACTGGCAAGACCAGTGTTTATTGCTCATCCCCCTTGAACTGAGCGGCTTGCTCAGCCATCTCAGAGGATAGGTAAGAGTCAGCCACCTCGCTGTGGGCTTGGAGTCACGTTTAGCCTAGACAGGGTAAGGATGACAGGTTTTTTCTCCAACAAAGGACATCAGTGGCCCAAATGAGATCTCACAAATAAATAAATAAATAATGGTTTCATTGCACTTTTACTGAGACTAGTTTTCAACTCCAGGTATTGTTAGTTGAATTTAAATTCAACCCATTGCCATACTGATATCTGAACTCATGCCTCAGGGCATTTCCTGGGTCTAACCAGATCGGTAATATGGTGTCCATGACCATTCGACCATTGTTTCCCCAGCGAGAGCTGGCCAGTTTCTCGTGAGGGAGAGTTATTCTCGATCCAAGCAGTGACACATCGCACCAAAATGGAGTCACTGAGCGCAAGTGTTAGTGCCCATCGTCTTCCTGCTGTAGGGAGATCCACAGAACATCCATCTGTGGCTGCATCGTCCAAGATGGTCACTGGTTTGTGTGGTAAGTCGTGAGTCCAGGCTCACTTGGCAGCACGGCATCCCAGAGAGAAGAGTGTCCAATCAGCCATCGGCCTTGCGTGCAGCGCCAGACTACATTTGTGGAAGCCATCTTAACTTCGGGCAATGGCGCAAAAGTGTCAATGCATTGCTCGCAATGACAATAACAGGAAGGAAAATTCAGGCAATGACACAGTACACGAGGCTGCCTGCTCTACACCTTCAGTCACTGGCTTTGTGCTGTCACCAGTCAGAACCATCCCAGACCCAGGGAGCCTGAAATGAGTGTGCCAAATGTACCAGGGTAACGTTCCGTGACCAAATACTGGAAGGGGGCAAAGGAAGGGAAAGATGAGAGAAAAGGAGAAGGAGTGAAGGGAGGAGGTGACAGCGAGGGAAGGATGACTAGTATTTGTGTTGTTCCTTATAGAACTGCAAGACATCCCATAGCACTTTGGAGTCAACAAAGTGCCTTAGAACTGCAGAGATTGCTGTAATGCAGAAACAGGAAGAGAGGGGAGGGAATAAATACGAGTAGCATAGCTTTCAAAGGTGCTTTAAGGAGGAGGAAGTCAACTCCTTTAGTCTACCTTTTCACAGTGAGTTAACACGCAGCCTTACCTCAACACTCCAAACGCAGGATGCATGGTAAAGGGCAGAGTATACCTTCCCAACCTTCTTAAAGTCCTTGACATCCCACACGTACAGGCTATGGTCATTGTACACACACGACAGCCAGCGGTTCGTGGGGTCATAGGTCAGTGCAATGGTGTCTGGGTACTTGGCATCTGCTCTGTTTGAGAATAGGTGGCTGTAGACAGAATGAAATGGTATTAGTAAGGTACAAAATGACAACCACACAGGAGTCGCTCTAAGGGAACTGCAGCCTCTTTATTTGCCAGCAATCTGTGTCCTCCTACTAGCGCTTGGAGTAAGCACTTGAGGTTAATCCTTGGCTTTGGCAAGACAATAGTCTGATGGTTGGGAGCCAAACCTTTAGCACTACTGTTGCTTCCATTTTACAGGGTCAGGGACTAAAACCATTTGGTTTTGGCAACACGTTTGAAAGATCAATCTGACCGTGGGGTCTTGGTCTCTGCCTGGAGCAGCGATCATCTTGATCTATGAAGCTGTACAGATCGGAAAGGCCCAGGGATTGTGCAAACCAATCTCAACTGGGGTCATCCACTGGGGTCAGTGGGCTGGACACCCACTTCCTACAGATAGCCAGAGTGGGACAAGATGTAGTTTTTCTTTTAATTTATTCACAGGATGAGGGCAACCCTGGCTAGGCCAGCATTTATTGCCCATCCCTAATTGCCCAGACGATAGTTAAGAGTCAACTACGTTGCTCTGGTCTGACGCCAGACCGGGTAAGGATGACCATTTCCTTCCCTAAAGGACATGAGTGAACCAGATACATGTTTCCGACCATCAGCAATCGTCATCACTGGACTCTTAATTCCAGACTTTTTAAATAAAGAATCAAATTCAAATTCCACCACCAGCTGTAGTGGGATTTAAACCCAAGTCCCCAGAACGTTACCTGGGTCTCTAGATTAACAGTCCAGTGATAATACCACTAGGCCATCGCCTCCCTGAGGGTCAGAATCCTGCGCTCTGTGAGGGAACAGTTACCCAGATCCAATTGTCCCGAATTGGCCCAGGTAGTAGGGGTAAGCACTGGAGCATTTCAACCTGAAAGGCCAATAAGAGGTCCTGGGGGTCATGACAGAGCTGCAGGCTAAACTAGAGGAAGGGATGGGTGGGGGGTAGAGAGAGAGAGAGAAAGTGAGGGGGGAAGGGAGGGTGGGAGAGAGAGAGAGGTAGAGAAGGAGAGGGAAAGGGGGAGAGAGAGAGAGAGAGA